AGTAAAGGCACTAGCTAAGATAAAAAAAGTAATAGTAAAAGTAAAAGTAGTAAAAAAAAAAGTAAAAGTAAATCCTTCTTTAAAATATAGATAGTTTAGTATTTATATAAGTTAATCTATATAATTAATAAATAGTAACTATTAGGCTAAAATAATAATTTTTTTATATAGTCTAACTTAGGGGGTAGTCTAAGTTATAAGGTAGGGTCTTAATAGAGGCCTAATATAGGTATCTACTAAGATAATAGAGGGAGTTAAGGGGAATACAAGTGTCTTAATAAAGCTAGGTTAACCTCTAGAGCTTCTTAAGCGTATATATAGCAAAGGTAGAGTGATTTTAGCTTTAGTAACATCAGAAGGTTTTAGGTAGCAACTAGCTCTATTAGCTGTTCTAGGCAGCATCTAGCATCTACTTTATCTTTACTTAACGCCTAGTATACTATATAGTGTTATATATTAACCTTTTTATAAACTTAGTACTAGATTTAATAATTAGGAAGTTAATAATAGTCTTGTTGATAATAGTCTAACGGTTAGGCGTAGAAATCTTAGCAAGGGCTATCTTAATAAACGTCTTGGTGCTTAGACCAGGCAGAGGCTTAGAATCAGTAAAGGTTTAGAAGAATTAGTAATACTTTTAGGGAGTTCTTTTTGTTAGCTTTACTTAGTATTATCTATAGAAAGAGGGACATAGCCGCGTCTTTAGCATTAGCTCTTGTCGTATCATAAATATACTAGTTTACGCATAGAGTTAGCATCTCTAATAGAAGAATGCATAGGCAAGGAGGAGATTACTGCTAAGGAGGCTAAGGCAGCTGGCGCAGGCGCAAGAGGCCAGCAAGGTGTAGCCTGTATTTCTTGCGGGTTTTTTGGCCAACTTATTAGCCAACTTAGAGATTAATAAAGCCAGGCTACGTTGATGTGGTAGGAAAGTGGATTGATTAATTGATTGTTTGAATGGGATGGCGGGTAGAAGAAGAAACGCTGCCATAGGCGCATTGTGTCTTGCTGCGTCGTGTTACGTCAAAGGTAGAAAGAAGTAGGGGAGGGGTGTAAGCAAGAGTAAGACAGTGTGGCTTTGAGGCGTGGCTTGAACGCCCCATATTTTCAAGTTCGTATGAAAAATGGTGTACGTGAAATTCTAACCAATCAGAGGCAGGGTGTTAGCCATAAACGGGCAGTGGGCCAGCCAAGGTCGTCAAGGGAGAAGGAAGTCACATCAAGACAGACAGCAACACCAGCTTTATTCACACACACTCCTTATCCCCTCCTCATGCTAGAATATGAGTGCGCTATATAGACCCAGGACAATAACAGCCCCTCTACTCCCCTTCCCTCTGCATAATCTACACTTTTTCCTCTTACTTGCGCACACATGCATCCGCAGTATACATTCTAATTGCATGACCAAGTTGATTACTGTCATTCCATCTGTCTTTACCTTTGGCAACTCTGTTCTACGTTACATAATTGTCCATGGCCTGTCTACTTTCCTCCCACGTCTCCATCCCTACCTCTTGCCATCCACAGCAGCTTGCAGCGCCGGAGCTATCTATCGACTGGTTTCCACACGCTGCCAAAAACGCCGCCAGCTCCATCTGAGTAAACTCAACCAATTCCATCCTCTCCTCCCAAGATGCAAGACAGTCCAGCCAGGAGACATCACTCCCGTTAGACATCTATGAGGCTGATTGCCAATGCGTCCCCCTCCAACCCGCCCCCCCCCTAGCCGCTTTTGCTCATTCTTTAGTCTACGCGCCGCTGTCCATTGGCGCCGGCCATGCATAGTGCAGGTTTTGAAGTCATCATCGTCCGGATGATTGTGTATTGGTGCGTTCTTGGCCAGCACGCGACACTGCTACCTGCGGACCCATTCAATCAGGTCGGTCGCGCCGGTAGCTGCCATGATGTGCAAGCCTGTAACGCATAACAGAAAGAAAGAAAAAGAACATCTATCCCACGCAACGCCATGGCGCATTAGTATCTTAGCGGTTAAGTGGAGGCTAATAATCAGTGCCAGATGGACAGGAGTTGCGCAGACTTGTACAGATGCGTCTTGGTCGCAAATATCCATGTGCAGCAATATGCAGTGGCAGACAAGCTGAGTTCCTGCGTCAATGTTAAGCCGACGTGACTTGCTTCTAGCTTGATTGAGGATTCATTTAACGACATAATCTTAGCTAGCGTGGGCAGCAACGTGGAGGAGCTTTGCGAAACACGATTTTGAAGCGGCGACACCACTGCCGTCCTATGTGGCGGCCCTGGCGGTCATGTTACCGTCGCTGTTGACACCGGGATCCCGATTCGAATTTTCTACAAGGCTGGGAACACGGGGACGAACGGGGAAACAGCGACAGCGTCCAAGATTTCTTGTGGCAGATTGCACAACTCCGCCGCATTGTCTCGTTTGTGCGGTGCGGTGGTGAGTGTGCTGGGGGAAGAACATCTTGGGCTTGAGAGGCTGGGATGGAGCGGCGGGCGTTGCGTTGCTTTGCTTGAGTCAAGGTAGCGTTTCCGTGCCTGCCTCTATTGCTATTGTTATTGTTGTTGCGAGTGTCCTGGCGGGTGAGGGTGAGGGTGAGAGTGAGAGTGAGAGTGAGAGTGAGAGTGAGAGTGAGAGTGAGAGTGAGAGTGAGAGTGAGAGTGAGAGTGAGAGTGAGAGTGAGAGTGGGAGTGAGAGTGAGAGTGAGAGTGAGAGTGAGAGTGAGAGTGAGAGTTGACATAGGAATGAGAGTAAGAGGAAGGAACAAGGGCACTTTGCCGTCAGTCACTTGGCGAGAAGACGCCGCTTCGTCCTTTTTTCTTTTTCTTTTTTCTTCTGCAAACTTGGGGGACATGGAACAGCCACTCGCTCATACAGCTTCTGGGCGCAAGGCTGGACTCTGCTCATGTCGTTTGTTCACGGGACCCCCGACCCCAATGACCCGGTCAACTCAAGACAGCGTTACCATTGTCTGCAGAACCATGGCGGCTTTCGGTTTCGTGCCAGACTCGGCTACATTCAATCCCGTGGGAGCCTCTTCATTTTCCCGTTAAAGGCGGCTCCTTCCACCTCTATCAGTTCGTTTATACTGTTTTTGCTTGTATGTTCTTAATGGTGTTGTTGTTCCCTTGTCAATTCGCATTTGTTAAACAATGGCACAAGTCAAGGCAGCAGATTATTGGCCTAATGTCTTCTTCACTAACTACTGGGTGGATGGCCCGAACCATCGTCCAAGTACGATTCCAGGCACCGACGAGGCCTCACTCTCATTTCTCCGATCGACTTGTGCGCCAACCAAATAAAGCATCACAGTTCCGAGATAGACGCTCTCCACCAGATTCAAGAACTTATCAAGCAAACCATCAGGTAACCCGTCGAAATGAAGTCGAGCACCCTGTCGAGAATCTGCCGAGCGACTCATCGAGCGAATCGTCAAGGATAAGTCGATCAACCCGTCGAGAAGAAGTCGGCATACCGCAGCTGCACAGAATACAAGAGCATGGAATACATACCTTCGTCAAATAGGTCCCTCCTGTCGCCTCTCTTGCCAGCACACCGATGTGACATCTCCCACCTGTTTATATGTGACCCTTGCTTTTGCCTTCACTTTCCTCCTCTTTTTCTCCTCCGTATCCCATCTGTATTGCCGATGGTTACAACAGTCCTCCCCCGAAACGCGTCGCCATCCTCAGGGTGGCAGTTTGGCCTAATCGTTCACATAGTCGACAATAATAGAGCACTTCATTCTGTTAGCCGACTATAGCAATCGCAGCCCCCAACGTGTAGTAGCTGCTTCGACCTCATGGCCGTCCTTCTTGCCTCGTCTGTTGGTTCCGCCATCTCCAACTACCTGCCCACCCTATAGCAAAAACTGTCTTTTCCTATTTTCCCGGGTAGGTCGCCCATAGTACAGTTGTTAATTAGGCTCTAAGACGATTGGTCCTTGAGGTCGCACAGGTACACAATGAAACATTAATACTGTCGGAAAAGCACAGTATCAGCATCATGCCAAATACTGCACACAATACCAATACACATCAATCACATATAGACTCAGAACACAATTCCCGTCCTACTCTTACAATGCCCAGTCAGCCAAACGTCAGAACCGAGTATGTCCACCATTCGCATAAATCACTGCCTGGCATCGAATACCCGTATGTTACAGAAGTTGCCCACAATGCTCCTCCAGAAGTACATCCTTTACCTATTGACCTCAGTTATCAACGTTCTGGCGAACTGGCAGCGAAATACGACCACATTTAACCTAGATACACTCCTGGGTCCAACCCCAGCAGGAGACTCTATAGGATTCAAATCTGGCAAATACGGAGGAAATTCTATGACTTTTATGCCTCTCTTGACTAGCTCCTCTAGATTGCGGCCTGCTGTATGAGAGCGGGCCCTATCCTACATATGGATAAGCCTTATCGGATCTGCTGGTACGGGTGTCACGGCGAGCTGGTGCTAATTGTCGGAGGTGGAATTTTACTTAAGCAGTTTAGAGTAGATTGCATGTAAGGAGTAGATACTATAATCTTAATCACACGTTAACACAATATGGAGTATGAAGACTCGCGTACTTCAGGAACTGTGATAAGAAATCTAATGAATTTAGGTTAGGAGTGAATTATAATTATGTAAGGCAAGATCCCGGTACGGCCGTTACGAGCTCAGTCCAAATTCCGTACGTTCGGTTGGTTTTCCCAGACACACGGTGCCATCCTGCTTCTCATATGTCTCATGCTTTATCTCTCGCCGTTCATTCCACTCGCTATTGGCCATCGAACAGTTTCTTGATCTGATGGTCCAGCATCGCGTTTTCGGACTCGCGATCGCGCTGCTAGGTTTTCTCATCACTCAGTCATTCCTCCGCACAAAACGCGACCAAACGATTCCTCTCATCAACCCACCTAAATAGATCGAACCAACGTCCACCAGGGTCAAGCTTGCCTTTGCGCTCAATGCCCGCAAATGGTTAACCAAAGGGATCGAAACCGGCAAACCTTTTCGGCTGATGACAGACATTGGCGAGCTGACTGTGCTCCCGAGCAACTTTGCACGCGAGCTACGGGCTGATCCTCGACTGGACTTTGCAGCAGTCATCAACCGGGTAATAAACCGCTTTTACCTATATTCACATGAAAATAAGCTGACGCGTTGCCTCTTAGACCTTCCACGCGAAATTTCCAGGTTTTGAAGGTTTTCGAGAGGGGACGCCAGACGCGCATCGCATCAGAGATGTTGTGAGGAGACATCTGACCAACTGCCCAGGTAAGCAAGGTGGTCAACGCATCGAATATTCAGAAGACGATTACCGTGCTGACTCTACTTTTGCAGATGAGGTAACCGCTTCTGTCTCCAGCGAGTGTCTCGCCGCTCTCCAGGACGTTTTGCCCGAATCGACAGGTGATAGTTACGATTCATAAGTGTGATGACAAAAGCGGATCCGTAATTGCCACTGCGCAATTACGGCTTATATCACGACAATAAGTCACACGACTCATGGAGCTGACCCAGACTTTTCCAGACTGGCATGAAATCAATCTCAGAGAGCATGTGCTCCAGGTCGTCGCGCGCATGTCGTCGCACGTCTTCCTGGGGAATGAGGGCGCCCGCAACAAGGCCTGGCTCAAGATAACAATGGATTAATACACCACAAACGCCTACATTGCAGCAATGCTTCTACGCATGTGGCCAGAATCCCTCCGACCTTTTGTTCATTGGGTTTTGCCACAGTGTCTCACACTTGGGAAGCAAGTCGCCAATGCACGACAAATAGTCGCCGGCATCATCGACAAACGACGACAAGAAAAGGCGACCGCGGAGACTGAAGGTCGCTCTCAACCCGTGTATAACGATGTCATTGAGTGGTTTGCACAGGACGAGAAAGAAGATGATAGCAATTACGACCCAGTGGTCGGACAGCTCATCCTGATGCAAGCAGCGATTCACACCACAACCGATCTCCTCACAAAAACCGTGTTGGACATAGCCTTGAATCCAGACATCACCGATGCTTTACGAAGGGAGGTAGCCGAGTCGGTACGTCAATATGGCTGGTCAAAGTCTTCACTCGCCAGAATGCGTCTCGTTGACGCCGCTGTCAAAGAAAGCCAACGGCTCAAGCCAATGGCCCGCAGTAAGTATTAACCCACAACTCCCCTCTCCTCTTGGATGCATCCAGGTCACTGACGCTATTGACTAGCCTCTATGCATCGCCTCGTGTTAGACGATGTGCAGCTTTCGGACGGAACTCTTATCCCTAAAGATGCCATCATCGGTGTTTCAGTGGACCAGATGTGGAGCGACAGTCACTACGAGAATCCGGCCGTCTGGAACCCGCATCGTTTCTATCAAATAGGCGAGGCAGGGGGCAGCAAGGACGTGAGCCTCACGAATTCGAGCCCCGAACACTTGGCATGGGGGTATGGCAAGCACGCCTGCGCAGGGCGGTTCTTTGTCGCACAAGAGGCCAAGGTGGCCCTGAGTCATTTCCTGCTACATTACGAGTGGAAGATTGCACCGTCGTCCCAGAAGACCCAGCCGTTGGAGATTGGGCTCACACTGGCTGCCGACCCCATGGCCAAGGTCTTGGTGCGGAAAGTTTCGCGAACTTCCTGAACTTTCACGATAGGGGAAAGTGGCAGAATCCATATATGCTTCCATACGAACCATCGACACAGCCCACACCTAGCTCTGGAGGAGCTATTGAGGTAGCATTAGCCCCTCAAAGCCTGATGTAACCTTACGAGTCGTTGGTACGAACACATAGAAAACTCTCTTTTGCTTACTTATGAGGCATACTCCGCTGGCCACCCTAATAAACGGTTACAGGTAAAATGACGGCCCCCTTTTGGTATATTAATTGCCCCCCAGAATAACTAGAAAAACCGGACTCTGTTACGTAAACTCCAACTAACCCTAATCTTAACCAGAATCCTAACTAACCCTAACTATCCTAACTATCCTATCTACAACATTCTAGTGATTCTAAATAAAATCGTCTCTATAGTTAGGGTAGTTAGGGTTGGTTAGGATTTTAGTTAGGATTCAGGTTAGGGTTAGAGTTAGTTAGAGTTTATATGACAGAATACAGTATTTCTAGTTATTCTACAAAAGTGGCTAGGGCTATAGCAACTGTGGCAAGTGCCTGCTGAGCTTACTAAATATGGTTTAGAGGGCCGTTAATATACTAAAACAGGGCCGTTATTCTGCCTGTAACCCTGATAAACCACCAGAAAGTTAGTTTTAATTAGGTACTGCCTAAGTCAGGAAGTTACCATCTGACTTATCTAGTGTGTAGAGATTAAATCTACCTGAGGGTGTTAGTCAGCCTTTGTCAAAGCTAAACACCCCCTCCTTACAGAGGGGGTAAAAAAATAGGGTTACCACTAGGAAAATAGGGTTACTACTTGTCCTAACCTAGTCCTACTTTTTATTATATTCTTACTAAAAACAAGTAATTATTTAGATATATTATTAATAAATATTAATAGTAACTAAACTACTTACTTTACTTTAACTCTTTAATATACCTTACTAATATAATAAGAATATAACTACTACTAAAAAGGTAGCTAAGATACTATATATTACTTATTAATAAGTAACCTACTAATAGGTAAATAAGCTAGTAACTAATATACTCTTTATATACTAGCAGAGAGTTTAAAAAAAATATAAAATATAATATAATATAAAAATATAATATATAACTATATAATATAAAAAATAAAAATAATTAAAATTAGTAAATTAACTATATATAGTATTACTTAATTTTTATATATAGAATTATTAAATAGGCTTTATATATACATGTACTTAGTAAAACGTAGAGGTAAATTAACTTCTTATTAGGTAACTAAATAGGTCTACTTTACTATTATTATATAAAGCAGTTATATACTGCTTAAGTATAACTTAAGTTATTCTAGCTAACTAAAAGTATAATCCCCTCTTAATATAACTAAGGGCTAAATAACTAGTCTATGCCCTTTAACCTTAAATTATAAACTATTTATAGTTAACTAACTAGGTGTTATATAATTATTAGTATTAATATTCTAATACTTACTTTTCTTCTTTTATAATTATATATACCCTTATATTAACTAATTAAATAGTCTTAATTAGTTCTTATAATAATTTTACTTTTAGTAGCCTACTATTATATATAAAGTTATTTAAATAAAAATAAACTCTAAATATACCTTTTCTAAGAGTAAATATAAGGTAATACTTACTAAGCTAATTAAATCTATTCTTTTATATATACTTTACTATTTAGTTATTTTTAAATAGTTACTTACTTATATAATAAGTTTTTACTTTACCTTTATTTCTTCCTTTGCTTTATATTTATATACCTTCTTTTCTTTTATATAATTAATAGCCTTAACTCCTCTTATATAAATACCTTCTACCTTTTACCTTTTTTTTTTCTTTTTTTCTTTTCTTCCTTATACTTTTTAATAATAATAAATAATATATAAAACTTTACTAGTATAGTAACTTTACTACTTCCTCTTCTTTATCTCTCTTATATATTAATTAATTAATAACTCCTCTTTTTCTCTCTTAACTTATTAATTATTTATTACTTTATATATATTGTCTTTTTTTTATTATTATTAACTTTACTAATTTATAATAGATCCTTTTTATATATTATAATAGCTTAGCTTAGACCTTAGCCTTTAGTTATTAGTTCCCTTAGGGTTTAATAGGACTAGAATAGTATAACCTAGCTTTATATTCTAATAGGTAACACCTAAAACTACACTTTTCTCCTAGCTTTTACTATTAATATATAAGGTTCCTTTTTCCCTATTATAGTTTATATATACTAACTTTTATTAAACCTTTAGGATAAAAAATAAAGGGTTATTAATATACCCTTATATAATATTACTATTTATCTTAATACTAATACTTCTGTCTAAGAGTTTATTACTAAAGTAATTTAATATAAAGGCTACTTTTATATAATACTTATTTAGTCCTATAGCTAACTTATATAGGCTTACTCTTAAAAGTATATAAATATTAACTATTGTAGATAAATATTAGAGTTATTAGGTTAACCCTAATAACTTATTACTAGTAAATCCTTAGATATTTAGCTATAGATTTTCTAAGGATTTATAGGCAATAAGTTAGTTATTTAACTAACTAACCTATAATAATTATCTTTCTTTTCTTTACGTATAATAGAGAACTATAGTTACCTCTATTATTTGTTAATTACTACTAATATATATAGTTAACTATATTAACTTATCCTTTAGTATTACTAACACTAATTAGTAGTTAACTTTACTGTTAACTATATAGGTTAACTTTACTATCTAAACTATAGATTAGTAAGGACTATAAGAAGAAGTAATTATTACTAGTTAATTATTTATATACCTAGAGTAGGTAAGGACTAAAAAATACCTCTGTAAATACCTTTACTATAATATTATACTAATTACCTATTATAATAGGTTAATTAATAGATCTATAACTAGTCCCTTTAACTAGTAGAAACCTTGTTAATTTACGTCTATTATATAAGCTTTATTACCTTTAGAAAAGCGCTTTTAACTATAAAAAACCCCTTACTTTATATACCTATAGCTAACTAGTAATTATCTACTATATCCTATTTATTATAAGCTCTTTAGCTTACTAACTTCTTTTTCTTATATATATACTCCTTTTGCTAACTAACAGCGTTAATAAGTTACTAATAGAACAGCCTATTATTTCCTTTTCTTCTACTAACTAACAGCGTTAATAAGTAGCTAATATAATAGCTTATTATTTTTCCCTAAGTTATTTACCTATAAGAGTATATTTTTCCCTAGTTGTCTATACTACTAGTAGTAATTCCTTTAATAAACGTATATACCTTCTAGTCTACTAGAAGAAACACCTATATTTAAGAGGTTATTAGGCTAACAGAGGATAATAGTAAATAATACTACGCCTATAAGCAGAAGACCTAAGCTAAGATAAATAAACAAGATAAGCTTATAAGTAAGTAAGGCTCTTAGGTTACTATACTTTTACTTATAAGGCAACAAAAAGAAGAGATTTATAGTAAATATAATATACTACCTAATATAGTAAAGAAGATAGTAGTAATAAATAATATTATTACTATACTTTTACTTTTATATAGTATATTCTTTTATACTAATAAGAAAAAGATTATATTATAAGGTTACTAACTAACTTTATAAAGAAGTAATAGTCCTTTATACTTAATACTATTATTATATTTTACCTTAGTAAATTTAAGTATAATAACTACCTTAGTAGTAAATTACTTTACTATACACAAGAAGACCTTACTAACTAGCTTATTAGTAACTTTAAGGCTATTAACCTAAAGGTCTTAATAGGTCTATATAACT